ATATACATTACAAGCAAAGATTCTAAATGCATGTAAAACATAAAGCTTATAAGAACAATTCTAAAATAATTGCATAATAGCAGTTTATGAATATTCTAAAAGAAATTCTTTCTTTTTTTCTTTTAAAAAAAAAATCCATCACTTTATACTTTGGGAGTTCCAAATATCCTGACTTAATTCTATCTCAGTCACCGTGTGATCGGCGCGGGTTCGATCCCAACCTGATCGAATAGGCCCAATCCACAAGGTGCCACTCGTTTCATGGTTCTCAGCGCTCATGTGCTATACCTTAGCTTGGCTAGGCAAATTCTCAGCAACGAGACCCTCGGCTCGTGTGCTCCCTACTTTGGCACAAGTAGTTTCAGGAAGTCAACGCGTTGGTCAGGACCCTCGGTCTGGACGATGACCCCTTCTCAGAATAGAGGATACTCCCAAAAATCTTTTCTTTCTAAAACTTCTTCTTGTGACTTTTCAAGTCTAAATCTTTTCTGAAACACCCTATGCATACTCATGCTGGCATCCTTAAATGTAAAGCATGGTATAAGAATGAAATAAATATTCAAAAGTATATCTAAAGATTCTTGCTCCTTCATGAATTTTCAACATGAAAATGGCATATAAGAATAACACAAAAATCTGAAAATTTATGCACATATATCATAATAAATCATCTAAACTTTAGCTAGAACAATTCTAAGTTAATAAGTACTCACTCACTCCAATTAAGTACATATAAACTCTTTTAAGCAATTCAGCAAATACCTTGTATGCGTGATTTTGTGAGTTAAACCACTTTAGTAAAGGGTTATATCAACTCACCTCAAAACTTCTCGAGCCAATACGTAGGCCCCAGTCCAATTTATACCCGTCAAATAATCTATTCTACAACAACCAGTGTATTTTAATCAATTTTAAAGTTTCACACCTAAACATGAAATTTACTGTTGATACAGAGAAAGAAGAAAATTAACTATTCAATTCTTATTGGTTACTACTGTAGGATAATTGACAATATGAAATTTTGTATACCTGAGTTCAAGAATAAGTGATTTGTAAAGAAACCTAAATATCCCGTTGCCTGCGCGAGTACTAAGCAGCAAGTTTCTGTTTCACGATTTTGTGTTTCGTGCGTGATCAGACGCTTGTTCTGTTTCTTTGTATAAACCATTTTTTAATACTTTTGCCTTCCACGGCCCTTTATGGGCCAAGGCATTTCGCGTGCTCTCTTTTCTTGTTTCCCTTTTGTTTTTTTTTTTGTTTTTTTTTTACTAGTGTTTAATTATACCTACTTTTAATAATTAATAATATTAAAATTATTAATATTTTTTCTAATTGTATATCCAATTATTTACAAATAGAGAAGTAACTCAAAAATCAATCACAAGGGTTTAAATCCGTAATAGAAGTATAATTTAAGATAAAAATAATTTAAATTATATATTTAGCGAGTTTTGAAACTTCTACAGATTTGAAGAGTGTTACATATTTAGACAGGGCTTGACCGCCTCCTACTAAAGAGCCTTTAGGTAACTTCATCGAAATGGCTTATAATAATTTCGATCATTATCTCACTTGACGATGGAAGTTCACTTGCTTAACATAGTTTTCTAGCTAATTGTACCTTCTCTTATTCAATTAGTATGCGTTCCATTAAGTAATTTTTCTGTTTTTTAATCTTGACCAATTTATGATATTCTTGGCTTTCAGGGTTAACATCACAAATATGCCCTCACGAAGACAATACCCCGACCTAGGCGACTTCCTAATTTTAAAAAACTCTAAATTTATGTCTAAGCTCAATTTTTCATTGCAAAATTAAACATTACTATATAAAATTTATGTATCGAGAAATTACATAAGAATATTATTACAAAATAATATGGACGGGAAAACATTATTATTTTTTGATAATCAAACATGCAATCTGAAGAGATGAAAATAGAATCCGAGAGGTGAAAAGTTAACCTCTGTGGAGTGGATGAGAAGGGACATGAAGAGGTAATCATGGATTATAGTTGTTAAAATATTTTATTTTCATTTGATGATTATATCAACTAATGAATACATAATAAGTGTTATTATATATAATTTCATAAATTAACCATGACTAATTATTGAGTATATTGTTTGTCTCAATTTATATTGTATCATAATAAATTAATTTATGTTTACATAGACACATAGAGTAGATAAGTATTTTATAGAGAGTGGTCGGTGTTTGAATGGTATTTATTGTTGTTACTTTGTTTTTATATATAATTTCATAAATACTTTCTCGTATTTCCTATATCTCTTATATTGTTGTTACTTTGTTTTTATGGTATTTATGTTATGTTCTGGATTTTATGGTACTTTATGTTGTTTTATTATGAGTCTATTGATAGTACTAATATAGTGTCTCTTGTTGCCTCTTTGAGCCGAGGGTCTCCTGGAAACAGCCTCTCTGCCCCTCGGGGTAGAGGTAAGGTCTGCGTACATATTACCCTCCCCAGACCCCACTTGTGGGATTACACTGGGTTGTTGTTGTTGTTGTTGTTGTTGGTCGGTGTTTGAATGGTAAAATGTCCAAAATGTCCTTTTTCATTCTAGCCGCGTTGATGTGAACTTCCTAACAAGAATAGTGAAACGAAAAAAAGAAAGAAAGAAAAATTAAATGAAAAAAAAAAAAAAAAAAAAAGGGAAA